ACTTTGACGTTTACGTCACGAGTGAATAGGTCGCAGGCAAACCGACAACGAAAACAACAACAACAACGTGTGGCCGCATCCCTGCCTTTCTGCGTTGCTAAGCCTTATCCGCTGACATTTATTTGTTTTCTGGAGTGAGAACGACGACGAAGGCTACCTCGTGTTTTCGATAACCCAGTTTCTAGAATATCAACCTCGAACATAACGATCTAACTCTAACATTCGGCATTTGCAATAATCTATCATCAACGTATGCTTGCATATAGTGTTTGCCTGTACGTATTTACTCGCTCGACTTACGATTCGAACGTCGACAACACGTTACAGACCGAAAATCGATACGTAACCTGTCAGAGTATCTGCGACTGTAGTGTCAGCAGAAGCTATGAGAGCCTGTGGTGATGATGGCACACGTAAAATGGGCCATTCGGTCGTACGGTTAATACGCACGTGTGCACGAGGCACTGTCTGCATGGTGTGCTATGATGCGGGTGTTCATTACTATATTAGTTGCCCTCTTGGTGAGTTACTTGAAATGGCAGTCAGTCGGAGTGCATGTAAAATCTGTTTGGATACTATTTCATTTATTCTGGATTCATGTGATTGTGAATACACGTTAACGTGTATTTACGTAATTGTGTCTTCATTAAATGAAAAACGAAAGTTTCCATATTGTCAGTAATTAGCGATACTGTCGCAAAATTCTAGCGCTTTCTAACCAATTAGGCCTACTTGACGAGACTTTACTTTACCGACGAAGAAGAAGCGCTTTCTAGCCAATTAAAATAATTTAGGACGCAATATGAAAAGTCTCTTAGCCGCGACGAATGTCATATATATTAGATCGTACATACATTATAGCATAGCATTATAAACGCTTAGCCATCGGACAAGGACATATCAACGCGCACATAAACGCATGGCAAACCTTAAACAAGTTGATACGGATCACATGAAAAACAGAACAGACGGAAAAATATTGAAACGCCGACTGGTGTAGCGTACACGTATAACTCACAGCGCCAATATCGCGTGCGAAAGTGCAATGATGCTGCTAATTAAATCTATACTCGACGCGGTTTCCTTTTTATTTCGTGTAAACAATTTGTGTTCGTCATGCGCCAAACGTCGGAGCTCGCACGAGCAGGGCGTATGAGTGGTATAGGTAGCCAGCCACTCTCTGCTGATGACGCAAGACAGGGTGAAGTATTGGCATTGCAATTGCACAAGTATTGGCATTGCAATTTAGCAACGGTTTCTATCTCTCATGTTGCCTGCGAGTAAATTACACTCACCTGACTCTGTATGAGCATTTTTACTGTCTCGGCGTTCTCCTGCTGACAGGCCAGCATTAGCGGTGAGAGACCCCGTGCGCCTGACCAGCTCCTCGAGGAATGCTTGCGTTGCATGTCTGTCGCACCTTTGTTGGAAATTGCGTTTTGGGAATTTATTATTGCATTACGTTATTTCTGTTCCTTGTGGCTCTATCACGCTCCATTTCCTCGCACGCTTTCCCCTCTGTCAATTTTACTATCTCACTCTTTCTCTCTCTTTCTCTCCCTTCGCTCACTTTTTCAATCGAAAAAAAGAAAAAAAGAACAAATGAGTCATTCACGCTTTACACCACGCATTTCCCAATTCACGCATTCACTCATCCGACGATTCGTACATTCACTCATTCAACCATTCAACCATTCGTACATTCACTCATCCGACCATTCGTACATTCACTCATCCAACCATTCGTACATTCACTCATTCAACCATTCGTACATTCACTCATTCAACCATTCGTACATTCACTCATTCAACCATTCGTACATTCACATCATCCAACATCTGCGTACATTCACTTTTCAACCATTCGTACATGTCAGCGCAATTCCAAGACCATTCAGTCAATTCGTATATTTACTCATTCAACTATTCGTGCATTCATTATCATTCATCATAGTACTTCGTTCATCTCAACCATTCGTACATCACTCATATCAACCATTCGTATATTCACGACCATTCAACCATTCGTAAATTCACGCATTAAACAATTTGTACATCAGCATTCAATGGCATTCGTACATTCACTGCATTCAGCATTTCGTGGCATTCACTCATTCAAGCCATTCGTACATGTACTCATTCAACGCATTCGTAGCATTTATTCTCCATTCAACCATTCGTACTTCACTCATTCTACACATTCACTCTCAACCATTTACATTCAGTCATTCAACCATTCGTACATTCAAGTCATCAACATTAGTACATTCTCATCCAAACCATTCGTAACATTCACATTATTAACATTCGTTACATTTACTCACTTCAACCTATTCGTAAGAATATGCACTCTCCAACCATTCGGAACATTCACTCATGTCAACCATGTTCGTAACATTCACGCTCATATCAAGCCATTCCATTCACGTCATTCAACGCATTCGTACAATTCGACTCATCTAACCATTCGTTACATTCACTCATTCACAACATTCACCGTCATTCAACAATTCCGTAGCATTCACTCATTCAAACATTCGTACATTCACTCATACCACCATTCGTACATTCACCTTCATTCAGCAATTCATGCATTCAACCATTCGTAATTCACGCATTAAACAATTCGTACATTCACGCATTCAATCATTCGTACATTCACTCATCCAACCATTCGTACATTCACTCATTCACTAATTCACTCATTCAACCATTCGTAAATTCACGCATTAAACAATTTGTACATTCACGCATTCAATCATTCGTACATTCACTCATTCAGCCATTCGTACATTCAGTCATTCGTATATTTACTCATTCAACCATTCGTGCATTCATTTACTCATTTAACCATTCGTGCATTCGTTCACTCATTCACTCATTCAACCATTCGTACATTCCCTCATTCAACCATTCGTACATTCACTCATTCAACCATCCGTAAATTCACGCATTAAACAATTCGTACATTCACGCATTCACTCATTCAGCCATTTGTACATTCACTCATTCAACCATTCGTACATTTACTCATTCACACATTCACGCATTCAATCATTCGTACATTCACTCATTCAACCATTCGTACATTTACTCATTCAACCATTCGTACATTCACTCATTCAGCCATTCGTAAATTCACGCATTAAACAATTCGTACATTCACGCCTTCAATCATTCAACCATTCGTACATTCAGTCATTCGTATATTTACACATTCAACCATTCGTGCATTCATTAACTCATTCAACCATTCGTGCATTCATTACTCATTCAACCATTCGTACATTCACTCATTCAGCCATTCGTACATTCACGCATTAAACAATTCGTACATTCGTACAGTTCGTTTACCCGTTCACTCAACCACACAGACATTCCCGCACATCACGCGATCGCATCAGTTAGACGCCCCAATCTCTGAGCTGTAGCCACCAGTACAACTTACATGCGCGCACACACACACACGCACGCACACACACACACACACACACACACACACACACACACACACACACACACACACAACTCACCGTGTCGGAAGACCACTACTGCTGCTGCTGCGGCTCTACTAGCGCCGCTGCTGCGTGCAGCTGCTTGCGGCAGCAGCACATGTAATCCGCGCGCATCACTATCATGTGCGCATATTCTGTAATGCGAGCACGTAGGAGGAGAGCACGCATGCATGCATCCGTCCGCCTGCGCTCGTTCGCGCCGCGCGTCTGCGTGCAACCAGCATCTCCCGCTGCGCGCAGCGACGAGCACCCAATCACAGGTGACAACGACCCGGTGCACATCACCGTGTTTACGGAAGCAGACGACGCTCACACTGCGATCATCGCCTATAAGTGCAGGTGTCGACCAAGTGTCTAATCTTAGCGCCGGCCGCATCAGGTGCCGCTGACTATCATTAGTCCGAGTAGGCAGGCATATTCATTACGCACACGACAACATCCGCGCACGTTAAGCAACTCGACGCGGTTGCGCGGACGCGTGCGTGCGGAAATGAGTTTTCCCTGTAGCCTCTTACGGCATCTTACATCGGCGGCGCCGCGTGCAGCGGGAGGAACCCCCCCTCCACCCCACCCCACCCCCCGCCGCCGAACGACGTCTAATGATGTGCCGCTTTTACTTATTATCCTCTTCATTCGTCGCGTGCGAAAGTCGAGTGTTTATCAGTTGCCATGGATACGGGTAAAAGCGAAACGGCATTGTTACGAATCGCCGAATTAATGGCGTATCAGTTTACGCCGTAGATATCATATAACGCAGTGTTATTATTATTATATCTACAGTTTACGCTATACGCCGCTGCACTGATATTTGACGTTGCCTTCGCGGTGGTTGTCACGCGGCTTTGATATGAAAAGACTCACCTTGCTGGTGTTGACGTACATGTACCTCACAGAAAGTCGCCGAAGGTTCGGAGAGAAGGTACTTGCACTTACGAAGTAGAATGTGAGCCATTACACCAATGCGGAAATTTCTACGTGCTTTTTGTGATGAGAGGAGCGTTGTGAGTCGGCCTCCACGACGGATTAGCCTCGTTCGACGTTCATAGGTGTTCACATGAAAGCAGCGTGGTTCGTGACTCATTTAACAAGCCGTATTCTACATGGGACCGCAGTATCACTTCTTAATATCATTAAACAAACGGAGACAGACACTGATAATGCTAGGAAGGAGGAAAAATCAGAGAGTTGGGGGTGCGAGATAGGAGGAACGAATAGAGGAAAGAGGAAAGGAGAGAGGAAGAGCGAGTGAGGGAGGAAGGGTGCGAGTAAGCAAGAGAGGTAGTGAGGGAGGTTGGGGAGGAAATAGGGACACGGACACAATTATATAATACATAATCCATATACATATAATTACCTTCCGGACCTTGGGAACCTGCGAAAACATATTCGGAGTTGTATTCTCGCTCTTGTATTAGAGGGGAAAATGAAATTGCAATGCTACATTTGCGATACTGTGGCTTGATCAAAAACACGAAACCAAAAAAAAAACGAGAATAAAAATATTATTTTTTTTGCATTTACATCAACTCAACTTGGTCAAATTTCCAAATCCTGCATGCAGGTTTGACAATATGTATGATCATAGTTCTATGAGATATAGTATAAATTATTATCTTTCCTAAAACATTCTGAAAGTGATTAATTTATTTTCATTTAACATTTATTAATTTAATACTATCATTTTCATTTTATATAAGGCTTTTACATGCACCGCTATCGCTATACAAACCGCAACGCAACTTTACATGGACAAATTTTCTTAATATACGTATCGTTTTTTCCAGTGCATAAGACTCATATAGGTAGCGAACGAGATAAATATCTAAAAACCTCCTGCAGATAAAATTCTATACATATTATAACCAATATCAAGCTGCTGTTTTACTGTAAGCAAATGAAACATGAACACTGGGTATCACATGTATTCGATTACTAAATATACTTTTCAGTAAACGCAAGTAAAGCATGCAGATGTGTTAAATCGTGTAAACTGCGTATTACATATATATTCCTAATTAATCTCTGCACCATGTGCTTTCATAGTTTTGTTAACAGCAGAATTCCAGAGAAGTGCGTCGGCAAGAAAAGAACAACCGTTCACAAGCTTTGTAACTACATTGGTTCTGAACAGCTGGGAAGCTGTTGCTGCTCCTAAACAGCTCAAAGAAGCGCACTTTAAGAACGGACATCGTACGTCACGCACTAAAGCACGCACAGGTAAGCTACACCTTGAAATGTGACTTATATACGACCCGCAGACGCAGGGCACAAACGCAGCTTGAACATGGCACCTTGCCAACATCGTGCGGTTTTGCTTTCTTTGCATAGATGGCAGCACGCTTCATGAGTGCACGACTTCCACAAGTTCTACTGCTAGGTCATACTCCTCGTGTGTCTCTGGAAGCTGATTGATCACGTGACTGACGAGAATGGCTGTGTCTTCGCAGGGCACGTCTGCCACGCGCAGTGACGTGTAGTCCTGAAATGATCATAGTCGAACGATCACACGTTACACCGCTCACGATCGTAACACACGGTGGCGCGATTCATTTATAAACCGCGCAGATACCAGTACAGAAAATTGCATTTTTGCCAATATTGCCAAAGTTGCCATGATGAGTATGCAGGTAGGAGGGATTTAGAGTTAAAACGTACGAATGATATTTCTCAATTCATCAACGTCTCATTATAACTAACTATAACATCTTTGCAACCTGTATATGCAAGGTCTACTTAATGTAAACACCAAAAATGTCCTTTATAGACAGGTGTCCATGAAGGTGGTTTCCTTGTATAATTGCCACAGAAAGAAATCCCCAAGTGACCTTTATGGACAGGTGTTCGTTCTACAGAGGTGACCGCTAACACGTGTTTGGTCGTAGTTCAGTTTCTGGGTGATCTGGAAACTTATTAATCGTAATAACACACCCCGCATGCTCTCAGTATTAAACAGATCCGAGGCTGAACAGCGCGTGAGACGTCTCCAATTTGATACCTTACCACTGTGCATCACCCTCTCGACTTATCGCAACTTCCCCGGCGGTTTTGACAGTGCACTCACCATACTGGACAGCCAGGAGATCAGCTTCGTCGAGCAATGTGAAACGTAATTGGAAATGGAAGAGCCTTGAAGCATAGCATGTGCCAACCTCTGTCCAGCCACTCTAAGTAGCTGTGACCCCATCTCGGAGTGGTCGCTGACAGTAAGCAGCACCTGTGCCCGAGTGTCATTACAGAACATGTATGAATAGCTGAGAACGTTTCAACAAGACATGACAAACGTTCGACAGACGTGATCAAGCAAGACACGTTCTACACCTATAGTCACGCACTGAAGAAATCAGAGATCAAGTGTCGAAAACTTGTCAAAAATATTTCCTGTCGTGAAATCCAATGTGATTAAATCAGAAGTCTATCAATATTGATAGACTCCTGATTAAATCTGTGATTGATGTATAGTCTACTTTATGCTTTATAAATATGTCTATGTTACACTCTACATATATATCTACACTACGCTCTACATATACATCTACACTACACTCTACGTGTACACCTACACTACATTCTACATATACGTCTACACTCTACATAATATACTTCTACACTACACGATACTAATACATCTACACTCTACATATACCTCTAAACTATGCTCAACATATACCTCTACACGCCTACACTCTACAAATACCCCTAAACTACACTCTACATAATACTCTACGCTCTACATATACCTCTACGCTCTACATATACCTCTACACTCTACATATACCTCTACACCCTACATATACCTCTACACCCTACATATACCTCTACACCCTACATATACCTCTACACCCTACATATACCTCTACACTCTACATATACCTCTACACCCTACATATACCTCTACACCCTACATATACCTCTACACTCTACATATACCTCTATGCTATGCTCACGTAGGTAATCAGCTATGAGGTCGTACCTCCTCAGCGAGTCTGTCGTAGCCGCTGCAGTACAGCTCCCTCACGTGCTGCCGCCGCAGCGCATCGACGTCCACGCCCAGCCACGCCTGTGTGAGCACCATCGCCGCGCCGTACCACTGCGACGCGTCCAGCCGTGCCAGCGTCGCCGCCGCCTTGCTGCTGCGGCCGCCGCGCGACGATGGCGGTGCGTCGTCGTCGTCGCCTGCAGCACGAGCAATACGTCAGATTTTATGCAGACATCCAGTATGTCACTCATGTGAGTGGAAGATTGTGGCAGTACAGTAAAACTCGCATAAGTCGTCATTGTCTAACTCGTCAATTCGCATAAGTCGTCATGGAAGTCAAAGTCCTGATTTTCTCTCAGAGCAAATTCATTGGAATAGCCCCGCCTAAGTCGTCATTTATAAGCCGTCATTATGTATAAGTGCACCGATGGCGCAGTGTACAGTCTAGGGGATTTGCGAGCTGGCTGTCGCAGATATGCGCTTCGCACACGGCACACCGACGATCGCCTGTAGATCGTGCAACTGAGTTTACATGAGCTGTTGCTGTGTGCACTGACTGTTTCATTCGCATTGTTCGCTTGGACACATTGTTCTTTTTTCAGCTCGCAGCTCGCATTTTTCAGCTCGCACATCCCCCAGATTCTCCAGTGTATGCAGCCCAATGCAGGGTGCGAAATTAACGCGAGTCCGGAGTCAAATACTCCCTGATTTACTGTGGGACTCCCTGATTTGACTTATGCAGGAGTCCATGTGACTCCCTGAAAATTCTGCTATACTAACTAGTTCGTTTCTGAGCACGGCCTCGCGGAATTACCATATTTTTTCAGCAAGTATTCCAAGAAAATTAGGCAGACGTGCACCACAAATGTCTTGCAATGTCCAAACGTGTAATGAACAGTGGGTGTTACAGATATCCAGCGTGTGCCGCGCTTACCGCTAGTGCGTACGATGTACGTACGTTATGGCCAGCAGCGGTGTCGATTCATGTACGGACCCGATTGTTTCATGTCTTAAATGTATGTGGCGCGAACTGACGTCGTATGTGGAGCATGTTTATGATTGCGTAGGGGTGACGGGTGCCTGGGAGGGGAGCCTTACATATATAAGTCGACAAAATGACGACTTACGCGTATGTCATCATTTTCGTAAGTCGGCACAAATATGCTGGCCCCAAAAGTATCGACTTATGCAAGTTTTACTGTATAAAGGGTTACTGACTAAAAAAAGGATACATTAAACTCTTCTATCGCGGCACGCATGCGTTATCACGAGACATGCCGTGTGTAGTAGAGTGTAACGATTTACCTTTGCTCTGTGTCACCCCGGTATCCACATCCATCATGTCGTATGCTGCAGGAACGCTTACGGTGGCGCCATCTTGAGGAGCTTTAGTGGGGAGTGCTCGAACTGCTGCTGAGATCAGCTTGCTTAAAAACTACACAACAATACCAAGTTAGAGTCAAAATAAAACCGCCGAATCAAAAATTTATAACCTGCCGTACAACGCACATATTTCGGTCAACTGGCTGTCAGCGATGGATAAATGAATGACTGAAAGAATTGATTATGGGAGGGTATGTGACAGGTGGTAAATCACGAAATGATCACGTAATCGCATGTGATTGTATAACGTAGCATAATCAGTACTCCTACTTTCACCCTGGTATTAGCACTAGATACACTAGAGGTTTCTGTACGTGCATTCTACTGACGGGGCAGTTACAATTTGCCGTCTCTGTTCGTTTTTTTATATACCTGCAGTCGTTGATCAGTAACGGTAGCATCAACTTCTGGGTATGGCATTACTGGATGTGTGTGCAGATCAGTAAACAATGCATTCTTTCCCTGCAGTACAAAACTTGCTCTCTTAATATATGAGTGACTAAACTAGGAAAAAGCACAACGACTATATCCGTAGCTAGTTCATTACAAACATGGTATCAATTGCGAAGCTACACATATCCACCGTTCACACTGGCTTCATATATTTGTGCAGATTTACGAAGCTAATTACGTGAGGCTTATTAACTTTCTGTTCATAATGCACGTTTCCCTTTTCCTCCTGAAATACTGCATAACGACTTAGTATCAAACACGCAATTGAAACTCAATACTAAATCCTTTGACTCTCTGATCTCAATTGCTCCCTTGCTAGTCACAGCACGTGTATACCTTTGAGTCGTACAACGACAGGGGTCTGACAGACTTCAGTTCGTAGACAAGTATGGCGTGTAGCACCGTCGCGAGTTGATGGTGGTGAGACACGAGGTCGTAGTTGGTGGGACGCTGATCGATAGCTAGCTCGACGAGCGGCGTCGGACCCTGGCAGTCCATCCACGCATCTTCGACGACGCCGTAGACAGGAATCTCTTCCATATCGACGTCAGTCTGGAACGGTAGCAGTCAAGACATCAATCACTGCTCGCGATGCAGGTTTAATTCAGAAACGACGTATTATGATGAAAATACAGTGTTTGAATCTTTAATGAATTAGCTAATATTATATGGCAATGGTCTCTAACATTTTCGGTTGATCTACGGTATTGCCATTCCGAGTTAATAATGATATAATATTAAATTTGCATTATTAATCACTGTGTCTAGTGAGAGGCTTCTACCGTGTGTACTGGCTGGCAGCAAACGAATGACACACTCTTGGCAGAAACATTGTTACACTTGCTGAATTTTCTGATTTACTGATTGGCTATCAGTCAAAATAATTTAAACGTTCTAGGAACACAATCAATACTAAATATAAATATAAATACTTATATAAGTCAAGTAATTTCTAAGAACGTTAATGATAACTTTACATTGGTACAGGCAAAAATATTCTGCGGCACATCTTAGGTTAATTAGGTCACATTAGACATAATAGATGACACACATGCAGAGATACCTGCTAGATATTAGCAAGACTGTTGTAATCAAAATAATCCAGATCGTTAGAACATTATAACATAGATAATAAGTTTTCAAAAATCATAAATTTTTAGAGAGTGCAACCTTGTGTCAGTTCATGAACCCAATTTTGCAGATTGAGAGCTTAAATTTTGTGAAACATGAAGCACATTAACACTTTCTCAAAATGTTCTCTACTGCTAAGTATCAAATTTCAGATTAACTTTAGATGAAAGTAGCAATCAACAACTGTCACATGCTAATGGAGAATGAAGTGAAACAAGAAAACGGTCACCTCTGGTTCGGCATAGTTGTCCTTTACTGCTTGACTCTGGAAGTGTAACATGGGACAGTGGCACAAGTATGTTGACATAATCAAGGTATCATTGTCTGATCGCACCGAATACCATGTGCACAATGAGTGATGACTCTTGATGGTGGAACGTAGCACAGCACAAATACAGTGGTGTGTACATACAACCAGAAAAAAAAACTACTAAAAAGAAGATAGACATTGCACACAACTGAAATGATTGATAGAGCAATAAGCACTTGAGACGACCACAACCACACAGAAATGTCCATACATGAACATACATGTGCCCATTACATACAGCTTTGTCACACAATCTAGACATTCAAAAGTATAATGCACACGCCTTGAGTGGAGATTGGATTGTACATAAATTACCAATCATGATAGCACAGGAAAAGTTCTTACCTCTCTTATGATGTCCAGTAAGACACAACATTGGCCAATCACATCTCTTAAACTTCTATGGTCGCTGATACCAAGCTCCTAAAGGTACAGACAATCATAATTACCACATGTGATCTCTCTCGTTCATGCTATGTACTTTCAAAATGCTCGTATAATATAACAAAACAACGGGAATGATGTGTATCACTTCTTGCACACTTCCTCACCTAACTCAGCATGCAATTACAGCAGTGATAACATTCCCACGCCCTGTACACAAAGAATAATTCGTGAGCGTTACAACAACTGCTCGTGTTTAAACCGGCATGCACATACCTTTCTGCATAGCCGATCTTTTGGAGCCTTCCCCACCTAAATCGAGATGAAGCAATTAGTAATTAAAAAGGATATCAGTGCTATGAATAAATTTACATTAAACCATCTGAGCGACAACTTACCCTAAATTACAACCTAGAAATAGTGACTGCTAAGGCACGGCAAAATAAATGATGCAAAATACTCGATGTGACTCCACTTGTACAGCTTGTGCAAATCAGAATAGATACAGACAGAGCTGAACCTGACTTCGTCTATTATGCTCATAACCGAAATATTCTATTGTTAACGAATTATTTACCAGTTCATTGGGTTGCTTATTGTGTATTTGGAGTATTTACCAGTGCACTGTGTATGAAAAACTAGGCTTAGCTAATGCTTTTGGTACTCACTGACCTTGTCAATGAGATATGCAGCAGCTTTGAACTTCTCTTGGAAAAACGTGTGCCATACCATCGCGCCGACACCTAACGAAAGAAACAAAAGAATTAACTGAGAAGCCTTTTGATTCGATAGTTCCATAACAGTATGTGATGTGAATACGATGACACCAATACTGCCTCAATCTTATCTTGGGCTGTAATTCAGGCACTGTGGAGTGTATAGAAAGTATAGCTGACCACACCCCCACGACATTGAGAGCCCATAAAATATGGCTTATAGGCTATATTGAAAATACAAAAAACATAGTTAATGCCATTTAGTTTAATTAGATGGGGAAAGAATGGTTGGAGAGAACAGAGATGGTTAATGAATGTGGGTATTACAGGAAGATGAGTGTTTAGGAGGGATGGTTAGCTAGAAACGTGACTGCTGAGGGGCTGGAAAGGAAAGATGGGTGGTGTGAAGGCGAGTTATAATAGGGAGGGAATGGTTAACCAAGGATGGGTAAAGATGAGTCGATATGTCAAGTGAGGTTGTGCCTGAATGGATCGCCAAGGTGGTATTTGAATCTAGGAGTTATTCAACTCACCATGCTGCAAGATGCCATTTCGTACCAACTTTAGATGCTCAATTGCCTGCATTACATAGACAACTGCCTGCAATGAGATATTCATAAATAGCTCCTATAAGATATCTACACAGACGTGACACAGGTACAACTGGTGGGTTTGAAAACGTAAAATGTACACGTTTGAAACGTACGTTTTACGTTTTACGTTTGTACACGTTCGTTGGCAAAGGGCAAAAAACGAACCTATTCGCCATAGTAATGCATTCAGATTTTGTTAAGGTAATTCATATTTGTTAACGTGTAAAAAAACACCAAAAAGCCTAACTGACTTCAGTGGGTTTTTTGTTAAACATAAAAACATCTCCGACACATCATCCACTTAGTGACAGTGCATTAAACGTTTACCACATATGTTCTGCTCTATTTATGTGGTTCAGCAAATTTGTAAAAGAGTGCAATTTGATCACCTCTAGGTCCTTGTTCCACTGTACGACATACTCCCAGCAGCAGTTTGCCAACACCATGTCATGAGCAAGACTGTGTGGGAACCTCAGCATCGTTCTACCCAATAATGCTAAAACACGAGAAATAGCAAAATATTGTTCCTCGTACCCATCTGGCAGTTGAGGACAAAACAAAGTGCGTACGTGCACACGTGAACTAATCATAAACTCTGACATTGCTGTAATACACCTATATTATACCTATTAATTAGGGAGAGATACACAAATACCTGATATGCTGTCCTCCTGGTTAGTTAGTGTTTCGTCCGTCTGTTGCTCGGCTGCATCTTGATCCATCGACATCGAGTCCTGTCTCGTTTCGACCTGTGATTCACTCAGACTTGCGTCCATGCTCCCTCTCAATGCAACACTGACAGCCTTAGCCGTAGCACCGACCTTTGCTACCCACTTAGCCACCAGCTCCGTTATTGCACCTTCGCATAAACAGCAAAAACGCCAAATTCAGCTCACTGCTGTGATGCGAGGCTAGGCCGTCAAATGCACGTAGTTATCTCTTCAGTATGCAAAATTCACAAATAGAGACATTCGATAAAGTTTTTTTTCAGTTAGAATTCTTCATTTGTTAATTATTTACTGTTAATTAATCGAGTTGCACACAGTTGCACTCTATTGGTTATTACTGGCCCTCCAGGATACTAACTGGCATTAGGCATGACGAGTGGCTCTTGGTCGCAGGCCCGGCACATACTAAGCTCTTATAACACACACCTCTACCACTATGTAGCACCCCATCAACAGACAACAGGATCTCTGGTAGGCTAACAGGCTCCGCTCTCTCTTCCAGATGTGGCTTGCTCCGAAACACTGTGCAGAGGAACAGCAGATTGTGCAGTTGCCGTAGCAACAGGCTCCACAACTCGTTATCCGAAGACACGTCCAGCCACTCGCTGTCACTCTTCGGCTGCTCACCAGGTGGCGGGATGCTATTGAATGGCTGCAAGTAATAGTGGCAAGTGGCAAGCATTTGAAAAAACTAGTGAACGCGCATACGTGCACTGATATGTGATTTTTATGATGATGAACTGAGTGAAACCGATGAAAGAAGTGTGAAAATTCGAGTTATAATCGAACGAATTAGACAATTGAGTTCAGAGTTACTCACCCGCGTGATTCGCAATGCCGCGAGGTCATAGGGTGACACTTTCTACAACTTGAAAGGGAATTGACGTTACATCCATTACAAACCTTTGTTAATGCTCCTTCGACGAGATTAGACACACTCCTGCCAACCAGAGCCGCCGGAAGAGCACTCGCTATGTTTGTTGTCCTGCTGCAGGCTGTCCTCATGATGCGCCACCAGTCAGAAAAACCACCTGCATCCTCTTGCCCTACAAATCAATCCCAACGTCGTCACTCTCCTTTCCTATTATTCACGTTTCTGGTTGTATTTCTGGTTCTGGTTCTGTTCTTCACGTTCTGTTTCCTGGTTTCTTGTTTATTGCACGTGAAATTATATTGGGGGAGTTGTGCGAAATAGCATCCATAAGAGGCTTGTGAGCTCATTGTTAGCATTCTACTTACCTTGCATTGAGCACAGATGCTTCAAGATTGCGTACAGGTACTCAGTTGCTGTAAAGTTCCAGTCTTCCTTTGAAAGCCAGTAGTTCACTAGGAGTGTCTAAAACAAGGCGATTAGGTCATCAGTTATATATGCAACATAAAAAACAGCATTCCCATTGCAACATATGTCCACAATAACGATAGCAATACTTAGTACAGTGCACTAATATCAATCGATTAAAACAAACGCATATTTGGCATATGCTTAAGGCTAAGGGGCTCATAGTATCAATTCTATTAGCGTTTTTCCCGTTATTCGATCGCTTTATCGCACATCTCCAGCACACTGAGAAATTTCCTGTTTTAATACTGCAACTAGTCCCGCATGTAGGATATCTACGAAACGAGTTGCCACTTTGTGTCACTGCATGATTTAAGATTATGCATACAAAGAGGTTTTCTGGTTGAATGCCGCTTTTCTGCAAGGCTTCCTGAAGGCTGATGACTGAACATTTCCCAGCCAAGGCTTGCTCATACAGAAAAGCACCTGGAAAATTAGTGCAAGCATTTCGTGTAAGAACCTTTGGGATTCTATTCCTTTAACAAAATTCGCACAATTCTAGCTTGACGTTTTTATAGAGTTAACAGGTGATTTGAATAATCCAAGTCAATGTGTTCACCATGAATACATGATCATAAGCCACTGAAATGTTTCGGTAAGTGAAGTTGATAAAATAGTCCCATGTTATCCAATAGCATTGTAGTAGGATAAAATTTCACATTGGACTGCCTAATTGTTTTACATACTATCACAAAATTGGAGCGAAATGCCTCAATTAATCAGAAAATTTAAAATTGCCTATATGATCAATATAATATCATACCAAGCTCAAGTTGTCCTTCGACTGAGACCTCCTTATTCAACATAATCGGGAGTATCTCCATGTTGACGTTGTCATGGCTACTAGGATTGCCATGAAAACACTTCAAGAACTGCGTGACGTTCATGCTGGATTTGTCCATGAAGCTCACCCTCACACCAGTACGTGTCGCCCTGTAACCACTCAGCGCCGACATGGCCTCCTCAACTTCTGATACTGGCGCGTTCAGTAGGGCCGAGAGCGACTTGCAAAACGATGAAAGGAAATCACAGTTAAAACTAGATATTCCAAAAATAGGCACAGTCAAGTTACGATGATGACCAACGTTGAGAAAAATAACACTTCTGCAATAGAATATACCCATTTGTTTATCTAGCCAATAAATTAAATAGCAGAAGAAAACAGCTGTAATACTAATAAATATTAAAGATGGGGTGAACGTATTACATGTTTACAGATATCACAAATATCGTCAGTCAAAACAATATAAATGTCAATGTGAATTGTAATGAATATTAAAGTTTTTTTTAAACTGCGATAGATCAGTGCACGGCCATGTGAAACATACCTCAGAAGTGTTGTTAGGGCTGTCCTGTGTGTGTACTGTGGCGCCCTCGCTCAGCAGACACAGTAGCCTGTATGTGCGCAGCAGCTGCTGGTGCAGATGGCAGTAGTGGTGCAGAATCTTCTCCTCCACGGCTCCAGCAGCAATCTCTGTGACACAGCCGTGAAAAACATGCACTCGGCAGGATATTACCAGCAGTAAATAAAGAAAAATTTGATACGAGTCACTCCTGATATTATGTATTACATCGATTTAACAGATCAACTGGTCTGGAGGAAATCATACAAGACCTTCATCATTGTTGAGACATTCATACAATAATAATGTGTAACAGGTCGCCCAAGAAAACTACACGTTATTTTTTGGTAATGCTCAAAAAGATGTAAAGAAGAAGTAGAGAAGTAAGTAAGATGGAAGAAGTGAAAGATTAAATAACCAAACAAACGCAAATCACCGTGTGAATCGAGCTGCCTCAGCATGCTGCTGAGGATGTCATCCAGGGAGTCGTGGTCCATGTAGCGCACTGTCAACACTCGTTCAAGACCCTGCTGCCGGATGCCAGCCGTACGAATCACCGACAACTTTGTCACGATGTCCCGCTGAAGGTCATCTGAAGAGGAGCGAATCGCCGGCACAGATGCAGACATAGTGCAGTAGTAAGAACATTGCGCAAACGAGGTAAACAAACACCTGACAGGAAAGACACCTTCATAGGATGAAAGAACAAGAGACCAATAACAATAGAACAACAACAGAACAAGCCGTTTTTCTGATTGCGAGCTACGTGGTTTGTAATCTATTACAAATGTGAACTAAAATGTGAAGTTTTTAGCACTAACACAAAAGCGGTTAAAAACATACCCGAATTTGTTATGTTGTCCTTAATTAGGGACTTTAATTCCTTCAGTAGGTAAAGATCCCTAGCCCTCCTACTATTCTTGTCACTGCAAATAGAGCAATTGCATTACCAGATCAAATTACAAACAAAACCCCGTTTGCTTATATGGGCATGCTATTTGTCATGCTCATAGCATGTGTCCAA